CAGCAATGAGGTCGGTCGAGTAGGGCGGACAGCTGGTATAACAGCAGCCGACTCGTCGGCTGCTGCAAATGGTCGCTGAGGTGCCGACCTGGGTCCCTATTGAAAGTAGTATGTAAAATAGTTAGTGTTTTCTGAAAGAGATATTGTGGCATGGATTGGTTTAATCTTACCAAATTCACAGAAGTCTCCGAATCGGATGAAGACACTTCTTCCATTTCTGGAGGTTGGGCTGCCACAGGTGGTTCTTCTGCCTGCCACTCGATTGCTAGAGGAAGTGCCGCTGCTGGCTGGGCGGCTGCAGGTTGGGCGGCTGCTTCTAGAGCCACTGCAGCCAGAATCTCTGGGGCACCTTCGATTTCGGGATCAGCAACATCAAGGATGTCGTTTTGAGGGTCAGCTTCGGCGAGGGCAGTTGGTCTTTCTTTTGACATGGATGAGTCTGATGCTATGTATGGCGGTCGACCCATCTGGGAAGTAGTTCCCTCGCTGTCAGAAGAGACCCCTGCTGCTGATCCGATGGGTGAAGGTGTCTGTGAAAAAATCATGGAAATGTTGGTTGTTAAATATATCAGGGTTGATCATTAGAATCCTAAGTATGGCTGATGAGAGAACTTACTGGTTCTCTAGGCACTACTGGTAAAGATTGCCTCCTGGTCGGGTGCCTGGCCCGACCGCTCCTCGGTGCAGGAGGAAGAGTTTGCCTCCTCGTCGGGTCCTCCGCCCGACTGCTCATTGGCAGATTGGTCTGGACCAAAGGCCCGGTTGAATGGTCGGCTGGGGCTGGCGTCGGTTGTGTGGTCGGTGCTGCCAAGGTCGGTTCTGGTGAATAATATGTGAAATCAAAGTTAAGATATAGTGAATTGGTTCACGGTGTTAAGAAACATTACCAATTCGGGGTCGGGCCCTTGCTGACGTCCTATTTGTTCCAAGGTCTGCTAGTGTTTGCTGGTCGGTCCCCGAGGTCGGGGGTGTTGGCAGCTGGGACGCTTTCCTTTTTCGCGTTGGAGCACTAGACCCGATCCCCGGGGCGGCTGTTTGTTGTTGAGTGCTAGTATGTCTAGCCGCCCCTAGAACCAATCCTTGGGGGGGAAGGAGTATGTTCAGCAACCGACCCTCATCAGGGGAGATCAGGGGCCATACAACCGACCACCATTCATTGAATGTTTCTACAGTCTCAGGGTTGGAGCGGAAAGGAATATAAGAATTGGAAGTTATATACGTGGTGAGCTGGGAGATATAAGAAGGGATTGAATTCGGTAGGACTCGTCGGTCAGGGCTTTGAAAAATTATATGTGGACACGCGACGGGTCCAGGGATACCTTGGCAACAGCCGAACTGGCGCGCCACGAATTGAGGTTCATAATTAAAAGTGTAAAAGGTTTTCTGCCCCTTTTTATCAAGTTTTTTGCTACTAAAAAGAGACCTGGGTTTGAGGGCAACGTCCCAGGCAAAAGGATAAGTGGAATGAGGACAAGGCTCAGGAGTCGGAAGCGGATTTGGTACTGGAAAAGGCCAAAAATGGTCGGGAGCATAGCCCGCATACTTTTTATACATAGAAAATCGAGAGTTATTGCGGGTATCTGTTAAAACTGCGATAATTATTGGATCGGAAGATTGGAGTTTATTGCGTCCTGAGCAGAGTCGGTTAAGGGCTAATCCCAAATGTTTTTCAGTTGTTGGCATAGTGGGCGGAGATCCTAAGTTAAACGCGTTGGGGAAGTAAAGACGGAACCAAAGTTCTAAAAACCAAAAAGGACCCGATGCGGCAGTGTCTAATTTTCTACTATCATTATCTGTCAGACGAAGGCTAACCCTAGTAAGTCCTTCAAACAGATTGGCTAAAAACAGGGTGCCAAGGGAAAAGAACCGACCTGACGCGATATGAATGGCCAGGTCGAGATGAGAAGGAAGAACACATTTGGAAGGGGAAACAATGACGTACCTACAAAGCCAAAAAAGGATAAAGGCAGTATGCTCCCGGTCGGTCACAGGGGTCCCTGGAGTCCCTTGCTGGTCGGTTGCGAACTTTGTCCAACCCCATTCCTTCACACCTTGTAAAGACCACCCTGGATGGTCTTCTGATGGCTCCTGCCCATCTAGGGCTCCCATTACAGGGTCTTCACCCACGACTGGGAGATGCGCGATCATTGCCACGTCCATAAGAGTTGGACCAAAGGGGCCAGATGGTAGGAGGAAAGTCCCATTTTCCGCATTCCAGAAGGCAGACATGGCCAACAGCACCTTCTCATGCAGGTTGATAGGCATGGTGGACAGTAGTATGGCTTGGTCGATTTTTTGAGATCGCCATTGGGCCTGGAAGTGTTCTGCTACCCGTCGATACCAAGCGCGGTAAGGATCTTTTGGGTCTGTGAGATGGGTTTTGATGCTGTCTCGAATGCGAATTGCTTGGTAGTTAGGATTGTTGATAGCCAAGGAATTTCGGGATTCCAAAACTTCCCTCATCCGATTTGAGTCTTCAGGAGTAGTGCAGTATGGACGGATCGTCGGAGTTAGTACTTTCGAGGCTGAAAATGGGCCCTCCGGGAGGGTTCCGTCGAAAGGAAGGGCAGGAATGTATTGATTCGCCATAGTTAGAGTGTTTTGGGATTGTGATTCACAAAGGCTTGTATTGCGGAGAAGGAAGTTAACCAGGAGTATTGCAGTAACTGGTGCAGTTGCTAAGGGAATGTTTCAAGAAGGTAGTGATTTATGAACTTCCAAACATTGATTGTTAAATGGCGTTTGAAAGTCCCTTGGCGGCGGGCAAGTTGTTACGTACGAAATTTAGAATTAGGTTAAAAGCCCAAGGTAAAAAGAAGAATGGGCCTGGCAATAGGGTTGATTGAACTGGCTGAAGGACACTGTGAGGAAATCAAGGAAAATAGATTTATTTCTAAGGAAAATACAAGACGGAAGGTCCTCAGGTCGGTAGGTCCTCAGGTCGGTAGGTCCTCAAGACGGAAGGTCCTCAAGACGGAAAGACCTCAAGTCGGAAGGTCTTCAGGTCGGGAGGTCCTCAAGATGAAAAGACCTCAGGTCGGAAGGTCTTCAGGTCGGGAGGTCCTCAAGACGGAAAGACCTCAGGTCGGAAGGTCTTCAGGTCGGGAGGTCCTCAAGACGGAAAGTCATCAGGACGGAAGGTCTTCAGGTCGGTAGGTCCTCAAGACGGAAAGTCATCAGGACGGGAAGTCCGCAGGTCGGGAGGCTTTCAGGTCGGGAAAAGGAAAAAAGTTAAGATCTCAAGAATTGATCCAAATCCAGACCGAAGTCGGGCAGACGCGGAGGTCTGTTAAGAGGAAGGTCGGGCAAGGAAGAGGTACGGACAGATGCGGAGGTCTTCGGTCGAAGACGGAGGGCGGCTGATGCGGAGGTCGGCCCAAGCGAGGTCGGGCGAAGAAGCAGGTCGGGCGAAGGACGAAGTCGGGCCAAAAGAGCGGAAGGTCTTTGGTCGGTTCAAAGAGTGAAATATAAGGATAATTTTGGTCTGCTGAGGACACGTGTCAGCATGAAAAGGGTTGGAAGACGGTTGGGAAGGAGACGTTGTAACCGTTCGGGTGACGGTTTTCAGTACGGTTTCCCAGAGAATATTTAAAGGTTTGAATCATCATTTGGCAAGATATCTTCAATCAACTTCAACAAAGCAAAGTCAGATTTGGGGATCACCACTTTAAATTTCAGTCTTTTATTTTCCAGTTTATTTTCTGTACCGTACAGTGTTTAGAGATTCCTAATCTCAGGCACTAATTAATCAAGTTTAAGGATATTTTCCATATCTTTGAATTTTACTTTATTTTTGTTGAAAAAATACATCAACACTAAGTAAACAACATGGACACATAACATTAGCACATATTTACACAACCTGGATACGTAATTCAACACTATGAGAATTAGACCTCCGAGCACATAACATGTCTTCCTTAAAAACATCATCAAATGTGATGGGCGTCTACGTAGCCATAATTGCAACAAAAATAACAACACAAAAATACAAAATGAGCGTCTACTTAGCCATTGTCATAATTGGAACAACAACAACAATAACAACACAAAGATACATAATCTTATCGACAATTCTTTCCACATGTTTCGTGTTCGACTTCGTCGCTCTAGTAATTTTCTCTATTTTAGACCTCACCGTGGTAGAGTGCACTTCATTGCAAATGGATTCGGGTTTCAAAATTTTTTTATCTTCTTCATCAAAGCTACTGACCAAAAATTTTGACCGATTCTTTTCTTGTGCATTTAAAGGCTCTAACCTACAAAAAATAAAAATAAAAATGGCACATTGTTTATTTCTGCAATTACAAAATAACTTACTTTCAGTGTCTTTTGTAAGACCAACAACTCGAATGGGCAACATATTTTTCATATTTACATACTGGATTTTTGTATCACAAATTTAAAACTTTCTTTCTCAAACTCCTCTTACTATTGACGAAATCATCGACATTATAACCACTTTCTTCGCAAACAAGATCAACAAAAAAGATAGGCCATAACACACACACAAAAAAAAAAAAAAAAAAAAAGAGAGAGAGAAATCAACACAATGCTGAATTAGGCATTCAATCAACAAGTTGGACACCAAGCATAATCTTTGATACACAATGACCTATTACAATATAGACTAATTTTCTGAAACCGTTATTCAATACAAAACACAACCGAGTTTTTGTTTTAAGACCCAATTTACAATGAATTCGAGTGAACCTAGACATAACATGCAGGATAACAACCAAATGCATTTCAAATCAAAATCTATACACAATTTGATACTTTACCAAACCAATTGTTGTTGTGAAACCAAAATTCAATACAAAACAACATATGTTTTTTACTCAAACTCAAACTCACAACGAAATCCATCCAGCTCCATAATAAAAAGTGTGTATATTATTTATGATATCAATAAAAAATTATTGGGTGAAGAAAGTAATAAAAATTCAAAAAAAAAAAAAAAAAAACAAGCAGAGCGGGACACACACAGCACAAGAGAGTTGAGCGAGTGAGTGCATTTAACTCCAAAACAAAAAGTCACATTACATAAACCAATATCATATATCATCATATCATAAAATTCAAATCACTAGCCTAGCCGGAATCGTTGCTCCAAAGGCTTCTTCCACACCCACTCCTCCTCTGCTTGCAATGGCAATGGCAATGGCAAATCTCCCATCTAAATCAATCTAATACAAGCTAAACCCGAAAAATTGGCTGACCAGAATAGCAAGCCCGAGAGCGATCGCAATCAGAGAAGATGCCCAAGTGAGCTTCTCCGTTATCCTCGGAATCCGATCCTTGAGAGCCTCGCTGCACGAACCTATAAACACCGTGTAACTCCCCATCGCCATCACCGTCCCCACCAGGAACATCACCAGAAACGCAGCACCCGCCACCCGCGAAGGCAGCGCCAGCGCCGGCAAGATCATCATCAGAGCATCTGGCTGCAGCCCGTGCACGATCCCTGTAGCAAATGTCGCAAACCCGATTTTCTTCTTCTTCCCCACTGCTGGGGCTGCCGTCGTCAGCTTCTCATACTCACTGACATCGCATTCGCCATTTTCCATAGCAACACACGGTACAGGGACTTCCGAAGCTTCTCTGATTCCCATTGCGCCGATCACCAGCAGAGTGAAGCCCACCACTCTCGTTCCCCAGTTTCGGATGATCTCAATGTGCAGCTTGTCCTTGAGAAGCAGAAAGATTAGGCCAAACAGCACTTGCCCGGCGTCGTGCCCACATCCCCATAGGGCTCCCACAGCCGCACTCTCCATCCTCGTGCGGCCTATGGAAAGTGGGGCTAATGCAGCAAGATGATCAGGCCCCGATAATGTGTGTAAGCAGCCGGCAAAGAAGCCAGTCCACGCACTGCTCAACAGCTCACTTCGAAAGAGTCTATGGGCCACGCCACTCTTAGCTGCATGCTGGAAACTGGCAAAAGCTGGGGATACAACAATGGGGTGTAGAAAGGTTACAAAGATGGCCGATAGTAGAATCACCATTCCAGCATTAGCCACCTGAAATGCATTACGTAACAGCAGTCAATAAATTAAGACATAATGACCATATACGCTCTGTTTACATAGATATTTTTGGAACTTTTAGCACCATTCATTAACGATGATAACCTTTTTCAAATAATCATCACATCAAATATCTAATTTTTTACTATTTTCAAAACTCCAAAACTATTATCTAGCAAAGCTCATATTTCATCCCAAGCTCAATATAACCGACACAAAACTAACCTGCAGCATGTAGTGTGTCAATCTAAGCTTCACCTTTTTGCAAAAGTAGAAATAAGTCTCAAGATCTATATATATATATATATATATACATATATACATCTAGTACAATCTTTCCAGAAATTCTCAGCTGGAAAACATTTCTTGCTTGAATTGTAAATTTTCCAATGAATAAAGTCAAGTCATATAATTCTTTCTTATACACATTATCACATGTAAATGCTGTAGTAATGCATGGATGTAGCCATAAATTTCTACGGTGAATGTAAGCCTTACAAGTATATGTCGATGACATTCAACATTTAGAATTGAGTCGAATTATTGCAAAATAATCAGCAGTTTTGCTCACAAAAACATGGGTAAGGAACAAAAGTATGCAACTTATGTTGTATCCATTAGCAGAATACAAGAGAAAAATGGTGCGTTTTGTCATGATAAGTGGCTATCAACAGCTAATGATACCCACTCTACTAAAATTCAGCAACTACACAAGCTAAGAAACCAACCAGTAAATGACCAAGTAATCCTGCACAACCATATCGAAACCTAATTACTTATGAATTGGCAAATGTAAGTATAAACTGTGTCCGATAAAAGTTAACCTGAAGATGTCAGCCTGAAGATGTCAGTTATAAGATAAGAATTTAAAGGTTACACACACACTCCAAGTGTAAAAGACAGCCCTTTTGCTGTAACATAGCAATTTGAAGGTTATATCCTCACAGTGTGGAAGACGATCATTTTGAAATTTGTCTCTCAGCAAACCACATTTGATCAGTTAGTAAATCGGAAAGGATAAAATAAAAATTGAAACAAACAAATGCCATCTTCAGAATATGGGGATAATCGATTGCAAGTCTTAAGCATAAGACAAATATATATATATATATATATAACCAGGCGAGAGACAGAAACCTAAGTTGGTCGGCGAAAGAAGCATTGTGAATCGTACAACAGAAACAGAGAATTTCCAGAACGCAAATCGGAGTCATACCTTTTTGTGCTGAGAGAATTTCTGCGCAATCCAGTGGAGAAAATGGGGGTTAGGGAAGGTAGTGGGGTCATTTCCATGGAGGGAGGGAGAGGGAGTGGTTCCATGGGAGTCGTCGTGGAGAACTCTGGGAGGCGAAAAAGAAGAGCCTTTGAGAGCGGAAGAGGAAGAGAGCGGATTGAAGTTGAATCGGGCTGATTGGGAGGAAGGTAAAAAGGGTTGGAGGGTAGTCCGGGGGCAGTGGCGGGTGGGGAGTCGGGGTAGAAGGAGAGAATTTAGGCGGAATTTGGCCGGAACCGTGTGGGAATAGATGAGCCTCTCCATTGATGGGTTTGATCTGATTTGATTTGATTTGATTTGATCTGCCTGCTACCCCTTCCTTGAACGAAGAAGAAGAAGAAGAAGAAGGGAGGCTGCAGTGTGCAAAATCTGAAAATGGGGAAGACAAGGAAGGGAGGAGAGGGTAGGCGTAGGCAGGGAAAGGATAACTACCCAATAGGGTGCATATACTCATTCATATACGATGCATCTATCTATATCTATCTATGCATATCCTCTCTCTCTCTCTCTCTCTCTCTCTCTCTCTCTCTCCCTCTCCAAATTCAATTGCTCTTTCGATTTAAAGGTCAGAATTGTTTTTTACTGCTCTGTTTCGTATTTCCTCACCTACTGCTACTTCCCCTCGTCTCTTTATATATATATATTTTTTTATTTTTTTTTTAATAACATTATTTTATTTAACATCTCACATTTTTATGAAATTATTTTTTCTGTTTCATTTTGTTTAGTCTATTTATTTTATACTTACAAATATCATTTTATTTATAACACATTAGTATAAATATTTTTACAATTTTTTTAAATTTGTATTATTTTTCTTTCACTCAAAAAAATATAATATTTTTATTTTATATTATTTAATTACAAAGTAACCATTTAAAAAAATATCCTATCTTTTTGACAAATACTCCCCGTTTGGATTAACTTCTATAAAGTATTTTGGGCTTCTATTTTTAAAAAAATATTTTTTCATGTTTGTATTGATTTCTCCTCAAAAGTACAAACAGTTTTAAAGTTTCAAAAGTACTTTTTTTTAGAAGCACCAGAGGGGTGCTTCTGGAAAAAACACAAGCAGTTTATTATCTAAATTACAATTTTAACTCTAATAATAATAATAATAATAATAATAAATTAAATAATAAAATAAATATAAATATAAAAATAATTCATTTATATAAAATTTAAATACTCTTTCCGTCCCTGTATATTTACAAATGTCATTACATTTATATCATACAATACTAATAGAGTTAATTTAGTTTTTTTACCTTTATTTCTATTTTATCCGAATATAATACTAATATTTCTAAAATTTTGTGTAAAAAGCAAATGGATATATAGATATGGGACGAAGGGAGTATAATTTTATTTTATATATTAATTTATATATTTTATTTTAATTAAATTTAAAATTTATGATTGAAAATATCAAATTTTAAAAATATAAATTTTAATTATATAGTACATAATTTAATATTTTTAAATATAATTTATAAATTTTAAAATAATTTGTAGAATCACAAACTAATGTCCTATTTTTGGAGCGTCCAATATCTACTGTTCTATTTTTTTTAAATACTAATTTTATTTTTTTTTACGTTTCATTCATTTATTATTTGTAATTTATACCTTATAATAAAGAACAAATTTATCAATTCATATAAAAAAGACAATTATCTAAAATATCATGCAAATATATTTTAGAACAATAGAAAATAGACGGATTGAGTATTATTTAAATTTAGTTATATTTCTAATTTTCATTTTTATATAAAATATACAAATATACAAATATAATTTATACATAAAATTTAATAAATATATTTCAAATAGTTTAGATAATTAAAATTTTTAGATATAATTTATAAAATTCTAAATAAATTAGAAAAATTTAATAAACAATATATTACTCCCTCCATCCCATTGGAAGGGTGACATTTGTCTTTTGTATGTAGATTTTTTAATATTAGTATTATATTGGATTGTAGTAAAAAAAGACAAAAATGCCCCTATTGGTATGGTGTAATATAAAAGTAATGGCGTTTGTGTAATATTATGTAAGTTGAAATGGTATTTATTATATTAGGTAAGTAGTACAATTACTAAATTAGGAAATAATAATCTTGTTTTGAGACGGACGAAAATAGAAAATGGTAATCTTTCAATTGGACGGATGGAGTATTTACATTACTATGTCCTATTTGGTAATTTTAACAGTTTAAAACCACTTTCAACTTTATTATATCCAAACAATTTTTTATAAAAGGCTGCTTTTATAATTATTCATCAAAACATAAAATCGAATTGATCCTACTTTTGGCTTCTGTTTTTGACTTCTAATTATTTTTTAAGTCAATCCAAACGGACTTTTACTTTATTATCACATTATTACTTTTTACAAAAATAAAATTATTTTTACACTACTTATAACCATTCACTACAATTAAAATTCCTTTTGAAATGACTCTTTGGAATTTTGTAATAGATTTTGACATTTTTCCCTTTGACTTTTGTATAAAGAAATTGTATTTGTAATGATATATTTGTAATTTATATAAAAATTAATGGTATTTTGATATCCATGTATGATTATATTTTCTAAAATAAAAAATAGATATGTTGAAATGAGATAGACAAAATGGTAAAAAGAGTACTTGGAATTAGGACGGAGAGAATATTTTTTAAACTCAACGCCGAAAGTAAATATTTACTTTTAAATTTGAGGGAGAGTGTATGCCAATAATGCTTTAAAGATATTAGCATTTAATACTTATTTTACGTTAAACTTAAATATAAAATGATAAAAAGTGTATATATATTTTTTAAGGTAAATTATATACCATTTTTTTTCTTTTAATAAAAATGCACAAAACACCCTACGTTTTGTTTATTGCGTAAAATTTTCTGTGTTAATGTAAAGTTTGCACGAAACACCATCTTATCCAAAACTAATGTTTGGCTTTAAATAAAGACCTAAATTATGCAAATTTTATACAAATAAAAAACGTAAAATATCTTAAATATTTTTTTGAATTAAATAAATAAACAAATAAATAATTGGTTAATCATTTATTTTGTAGTTTTTTTAGACAAATTGTTATCTGATTTTTACAAAAATTATAAAAATAAATGATTGATTAATTATTTATTTATTTAGTTTATTCAAAAAAGTTATTTAAGATATTTATGTTTTTTTATTTATATAAAACTTGCGTAATTTAGGTATTTATTTAGTACCAAACATCAGTTTTGAACAATGAAAGTGTTTCGTGCAAAATTTAAATTAACATAAGAGAATTTCACGTAATAAATAAGATACAAGATGTGTTGTATATTTTTAATAAATACAAGATGATGTTATATAATTTACTATTTTTGTTAATATATTAATGAAAGAAATATTTAAAGTGAAAACTACTTATCCTCGAGAGAATTCATCATTCTTTGGAGGTGTGTATGTGCAAAATGAAGAATATGAAAAGTTGTGTCCGCATAGAATATACAAAAAAAATTTGAGGGATTTTGCTAAAAATTTACTATTTATTTAATATTTTATCCAAAAAAATATCACATCAAACACTTTTTTTTCATTTTCTCTATCATTTTAAAAATTAATTTTATATTCAAAATATCACATCAATATCTACTTATATCACATCATACAATTATTTCAATTCAAAATTTTTATTATTAAAATCTCAATTCAAAATTCAAACCTCCAAACAAACACACCTAAGTAATGTTTTTTTTAATCCCAATAACAATAAATGGATGAATTGGGATATGAATTGGATTGGACATGAAGTGGGCTTGGTCTGAGCTTAACTTAGACTAGTTCATAATTATAAAGCAAGACTTGGATCTTGGGTTGTAAGGCCTCGGGGGCCGAATTTAATAACATTGAAATTCAATAATTTAACTTTTTATATTTTATTCGAATTTAAATATTTGTGACTGATTAAAATATTAGAGATATTTGATAAAATAAAATAATTGCAACTGAATGCAATATGCATAATAAAGTGAGGGTGATTACGATATTTGTTTATTTTAAATCTTAATTTCTTTTCAATTTTCACATTTTTTCTGCTTCCATAATTGCTAAAATTTATACAATTCTTCCTCTGTTTTTATTTTGTTTTTTGAAAATCTGAAAATTCTTTCAATTTTTTAGTTCGGTTCTTAATAAAATGATTGATCCATTTAATTCGCATTTAAATGGACCTACAAACAAAACTAAAATAATTTTATTTAAAAATGAGTGAAATTGTACTAACTTATTTACTGATTCATCATTCATACTGAAACTGAAAATAATTCGTCTCAACCTACAATTCAGTGAAAATCGAGACAACACAAATAGTAAAATGCTCAATCGAAAAATGGTTTTCAGAAAGCGTCAAGTTGAAAAATGAATAATAGATAAATGAATATCATCGAACGAAAATTGAACAACAAAAAACACAGGGCAACCAATTCCCACATAATGAAGTACTTTCTGATCATCTTTTTCATCACAATAATAATAATAATAATAATAATGAAGATGATTCATACATTCAACATACTCATATAGTATGTATTTCATTCATCTCACATAAATTAATCATAATTTTTATTTTTGTCCGTTGTACTCCTTCCATGCCAATGACGCATTTTTCTTTTTTATCGGTTTCATAAAAGATAAATATTTTATATTTTTAATAAATTTATTTATTTTTAAACATATTTAACAAATTTATAATAGGATCCATTAAAAGCCTCTTTATTTCTATATCTATCCTCAATAAACAAATATTTTTATCTAAATTTAAAACTTCTTACTATATTTTTTATAAAATTAGTTTTAAATTAATTATAAATAAATAAATAATTTTTTATATATTTTTATTATATAAGATTTTATTTTCTATAAAATGATAAGTACTTATATTGTATATAGTTTATTGAAATATAATAGTATTAAAAATATTTAAATATCAATAATACTAATCATATAAAAAAATAATAAACTAATACATAACTTATTATCAATAACTTACTATTTTACACTACCTAAAATACTGTTTTCCGAACTAAAGGGGTCATCTGGACCGGGATGGAGGGACTATATAGTTTATTTCTTTTTATTTTTTAAAAATAATTATAGACTTTAATCCCATTTGAATTTTATAATTTTAATTAAACTAATTAGTTATCGTAATCTTACTTTATAACTATTTGTATTAGACCATGTGTTACAGTCACCTTTTTCGTTATCTTTATGATTGATTTTTTAGTTTTTACTGTAACAATATTTATTAACTTTAATAAAAAAAAATACAGTTATTATATATTTATTACATTTCTAACACACGGATTACTTTTAAAAAGATAATTAAATATTATCCAAAAAAATTTAAATTTTAAAATTTAAATTAATATAAATTATCTACTAATATATTTTAAAATTAT